CTATCAGTGTACCAAGCTATTAGGAGCCACCTAATGAATAATTTTCTTGAGTAAAGTAATATTTTTTTATTAACATATTTTTTTATCAGTGTATATATAATAAAAAGCGGGGAATATTACTTGCAATATAAATACGATTATTACTATTACACATAGCCATTCGAAATTTTACTTGTGGTTGTTATTGCAATATTTGTAGTACACCTTACCAAATTAAAAGCGCGTTTTGGTTTATGACAACCGTATCGTAAGTTGCATGGACCAATATTGCGTCTATGAGAACTGTAATACATTGCTAGGTCAGCCATAACTTACGTAGTTGGAAGAATTATAAAAATATGGTTGGCTCCTAAAATGACTATAAATTATAGTGAGATTGTGGTAGCTGCAACCATTTTTTTCTATCAGTGTAGGGCGCTAATTTCATACACTCGTGCCCGGGCCCGTGCTCGCACGTGCACCTCGTTCGCGAGAGCGTCGACGTCCGGTGACGATACATCGTCTTTCCAAGACGATGGAGATTAACGCCGCGCGACGAGGCCGGTCGCTAATTAGACATGCGCCCCCGAGCCCCGCGTTTCCGCGTAGTGTCTCCGCGAGTCGCACTTTTATTGCGCGCGAGGTTCATTTAAGGTAACGCGAGAGACAAAAGCCGCGGTAATCGCGACGGTAAAGTCTGATACAATGTGCGCTTTGCGTCCGGAAACATTCTGTTTCAGAGCCAATAAATACGTTTAAAAGATGTGCGCAAGCTGTTAAATTGCACATTGTGCAATCGTGCATTGTCGACAAATTTTTTAAGCGTTTCAATTTGCTGATATAAAGTAGAATATTTCTAGATGTAAAGAGCACATTGTAGATCAAGTTAAAGCTACAATGTGCTCTTTGCGACTAGAAACATTCTGTTTTACTGCCAATAAATACGTTTAAAAGATGTGTGCAAGAGCTGATACATTGCACATTGTACAATCGTGCATTGTCGACATATTTTTCAAACGTTTTCATTTGAGGATATAAAATAGAATGTTTCTAGAATCAAAGAGCACGTTGTAGCTTTAACTTGATCTACAATGTACTCTTTGCGTCTGCCAACATTCTGTTTCAGAGTCAATAAATACGTTTAAAAGATGTGTGCAAGCTGATAAATTGCACATTGTACAGTCGCGCATTGCCGATAAATTAATCGATTTGCTTGTACAAAATACGATGTTTCTA